TCTGTTTGCCCCGGTATGAAACCTTGGGTTGCACGGGCCTATTGCAACTTCCTGCTCTGTCTGCATATTGCAAGTCAGTCTGGTCTGGAGTGGGTGGGCGAACATAAGGTGGTTGTTTGCCTGATGGATCAGTGGTGGCCGAGATCTCAGAGGGGTAACCTGCGACGGTTTAATGAGAGGGAAAAAAAGGGTTGATTAAGTGCAAACAAGTAGAACAAATTATTATTATAATAAAGCATGCAACTCTGAATCAATAAATTAATAGATAAATAATTGAATAAATAAATAATATAGTAAATAATAAAAAATCACACAAAGAGATTAAGTGCTGCAAAAATGTTAAAATGCTTAATATAAGAAATTAAATAAATTTGAAATACAAAACAAGAGACAAACCAAGACAGAGCAAATAAATACAAATTATCCTCATGTTAGGGACCCCTCTGGCTCTCCTAATTGAGCACCCACCGACCCCTACAGGTCAAGGGCTGTATATTATTATTTACCATTCAAGCCAAGTCGAGCGAAGGTCTTGAGTTTGGCTATCCACCTGGATTCAGCAGCTGTTCTCTAGGCTATGGTCCAGGAGCATAGCCGAGGGAAGTAGGGGTGCTGAAGGGGCTGCAGCATCCCCTGATAAATTGAAATAATGTTTCAAAAATTATATAATTACTCCTGTCTGAACACTGACTGAATTTGGGCAGCACACACACCAAATATCGAACAGCTTGTTGCATTGCGGCCATAGAAATGCCAGCTAGCACATAACGTTCTGAGAACAATATGTTTCTTAGAACTTGGCGAAAGCGTGGTTGTCCTATGGTTATTTTGCATACAACCTTCCCATAACGTTTCCTCCAGGTTTCCTCATGGTTCTATTTAAAGCAATGTTCTGAAATTGTTCAGAGAACATTGAGAAGAAAAAAAAATCTGTGGGAATTTCAGTACTTCAGTATAACGTTTTCTACACGTTTCCTCATGGTTCTTTTTAAAGTCATGTTCTCAGAACGTTCAGAAAACTTTAAGAAACAACATTCTTCTGTTGGAATTTCAGCACTTCAGCATAACGTTCTCTACAGGTTTCCTCATGGTTCTTTTTAAAGTCATGTTCTTAGAACTTTCAGAGAACGTTCCATAAAAACCACAAGAAAACATTAGTAATGTTCAAAGAACATTCTAAGAATGTTATTTAAAAACATGTACATTCCATTCTCAGCATCAACAAAACTCTCTCTTATCCTCTATCTTGTTAAATGTGTTCAGGTGTGTTGGCCGCGCCCACTAATTGGCCACACCTGATCTTAATGAGTGCTTGTTTCCTTTGAAATAGGTCTGTTTAAATAGACTAACACAATGTACAGCTTTGTATGAGTTAAAAAAAACATGGCATGCTAGCTCCATCCTGGTGGCACAGTGGACAAATTCCATGGATAGGGAGCAGAAGATCATAGGTTTGAATCTCACTCATGCCACAATAATAAATAAATAAATGTTAATGATGAAAGCAAATTAATTTCCATGTGTCCTATCTGTGCTTGGAGTTTAAAACAGTTAAGCCAACAATGTTATTGAAATTCTTATTGAAACATGTTATCAGAACATTATTTAATTACCTTAAAATAACCTAGAATTTCTGTTATCAGAATGTTAATAAAACCTCCCAGGAAAACTTTCAGGGAACCATAGAAAAACGTTCTCAGAACCTCCCTGCAACCTAAAAATGTACATTCCCAAAAGAGGAATATTTTTTACTTCCGTTCGCAGAACATTTAAAAAACATTCAGTTTTAACGGTCAGAAAACGTATGGCTTCGTTCCCAAAACCAATGAGAAACCAAAAACGTACGTTCCCACAACCTCCAAGGAACCAAGTGTGCTAGCTGGGAAGGGTTTTGGAACTTCACCCTGGTCATTTGACTGGTAAACTCATGTGTATGCTCAAAATGGCTGTCCGTCCTGATTTGAATGGGCACTTTTATTCTATAGATTCTATTTCTATGGATTCTATTTCTGTTCGCCCTGTCATTGAATAGCTAAAGGCCTTTTGCGAATGTCTAAATACAATCACAAGAAATATGTTTGGAAAGCAAATGCCTACTGCTGAAAACAGAAGACTAATTTGTCAGTAGAACACAGGAGGCTGGTGGCATCTTAATTGGGGAGGACGGGCACATGGTAATGGCTGGAGCAGAATCGGTGGAAAGGTATCAACAACATCAAACACATGGTTTCCATGTGTTTGATGCCATTCCATTTGCTCCATTCCAGCCATTATTATGGGCCGTCCTCCCCTCAGCAGCCTCCACTGCAGTAGAAGCTACCATTTATTTTCTCCACAACTCGGACGAACAGCACTGTTTTTGCTTGAGATCATGGGAAAATCAAAAGAAATCAGCCAAGATCTCAGAAAAAAGATTGTAGACCTCCACAAGTCTGGTTCATCCTTGGAAGCAATTTCCAAACGCCTGAAGGTACCACGTTCATCTGTACAAACAATAGTACGCAAGTATAAACACCATGGGACCACGCAGCCGTCAAACCGCTCAGGAAGGAGACTCATTCTGTCTCCTAGAGATGAACATACTTTGGTGTGAAAAGTGCAAATCAATCCCAGAACAACAGCAAAGGACCTTGTGAAGATGCTGTAGGAAACAGGTACAAAAGTATCTATATCCACAGTAAAACGAGTCCTATATTGACATAACCTGAAAGGCCGCTCAGCAAGGAAGAAGCCACTTTTTGATCATACTTTTTGGAGAAATGTCCTCTGGTCTGATGAATCAAAAATAGAACTGTTTGGCCATAATGACCATCGTTATGTTTGGAGGGAAAAGGGGTAGGCTTACAAGCCGAAGAACACCATCCCAACCGTGAAGCACGGGGGTGGCAGCATCATGCTGTGGGGGTGCTTTGCTGCAGGAGGGACTGGTGCACTTCAGAAAATAGATGGCATCATGAGGAAGGAAAATTATGTGGATATATTGAAGCAACATCTCAAGACATCAGTCAGGAAGTTAAAGCTTGGTCGCAAATGGGTCTTCCAAATGGACAATGACCCCAAGCATACTTCCAAAGTTGTAGCAAAATGGCTTAAGGACAACAAAGTCAAGGTATTGGAGTGGCCATCACAAAGCCCTGACCTCAATCCTATAGAAAATGTGTGGGAAGAACTGAAAAAGCGTGTGTGAGCAAGGACGCCTACAAACCTGACTCAGTTACACCAGCTCTGTCAGGAGGAATGGGCCAAAATTCACCCAACTTATTGTGGGAAGCTTGTGAAAGGCTACCCGAAATGTTTGAACCAAGTTAAACAATTTAAAGGCAATGCTACCAAATACTAATTGAGTGTATGTAAACTTCTGACCCACTGGGAATGTGATGAAAGAAATTAAAGCTGAAATAAATAATTCTCTCTACTATTATTCTGACATTTCATATTCTTAAAATAAAGTGGTGATCCTAACTGACCTATCACAGGATTTTTTACTAGGATTAAATGTCAGGAATTTTGAAAAACTGATTTTATATGTATTTGGCTAAGGTGTATGTAAACTTCTGACATCAACTGTATAATTGCATGAAATGCGTTTATAAAAGTCCCATAAAAGGGGTCTGTTGGAAAATTTGGCGTAGACTAAGAGGTCCCTCAGGTTGGGGGTTCTGTGGTAGGCTGATGTAGGTCTGAAGTCCTGGATTGTGTATGTTGTGTGTTAGAGTTACAATTAGGGTTAGGTTTAGGGTTAGGAATTAAGGTTAGGGTTAGGGTTTTGGGGTTAAGGTTAGGGTTAAGGTTAAGATTAAGGGTTAGGTTTAGAATTAGGTTTAGGGTAAATAGGAATTTGGATGGGAATCAATTGTTTGGTCCCCACAAAGATAGTAAAAAAGTGTGCTGGTGTGTGTGTGTGTGTGTGTATGTGTGTGTGTGTGTGTGTGTGTGTGTGTGTGTGTGTGTGTGTGTGTTTGTGGTGAGGGTGACCCGAGAGGCCCAGCTAGTTACCGCCTCTCTGCTGGAGACCGCCGGTCTCACAGAACTAGCATTGTTGGCATGGAGCTGCAGACAGACACACACAGAGACAGACACACACACACATACACACACAATAACACCCGAGGTGGCGGGACCATTGGTAGAGTCATGTTCTGAATCCCATTAATAAAATGAGAGTTCCCTCCTCTCTTCTCACAGCCTGTGCTCTGTAACACTCCACTTCTCAATAACACACTCATTATGCTGTCTTTCTCAGACACATATAAACACACACACACAAAGACAGAAAAACACCATTCATAATAAGCCCTAGTTGGTTAATACCCAGACTGTTATTGTAGGTGTAGTTCACTAATCATTTGTGACTGAGCTGCTGTCAAAAGCAATTATTGGAGACAATGTTGTGATGCTATTTGAAGCAGGAATGTTGACAACATAACTCAACAATGTTTGTTATGATGACACTTTTGACAAATTTCAATAAAACACCAACAGCATATCAATTGTCATTCTCGTCCAGTTTTATTAATAACATATTTGGATTGTTAAATTTTTGTGAGTTTGAAATGTTTGCTTTAAGATGGAACAATTTGCGATTGTGTGTGTGTGTGAGAGAGAGAGAGAGAGAGAGAGAGAGAGAGAGAGAGAGAGAGAGAGAGAGAGAGAGAGACGGGGAATTACGAACTGGAACTGTAGTGAGTGAGTTCTCTCATTGGCTGCAGAAGTGGACGTCAGCGCCTTTCACTACTCCAGTGTTACCCCTCTCACCTCTGGCTGTAAAGGAGAAGCAATTGTTAAAGTATCTCTGAGGAGAGTAAGCTAACCTCAAGCATCCGCACTGTCTGCCGCGCATGAGTGATGGTGCTACCCAAGACAGAGCAGTAAAAGCAGACGCGAGGTGGAAATTATTTACGAGACACATGTAACCTTGGATTCCATTCACCTTTATTACAAGTCATTCCTCGGATGCGCGTTTTCTCCCTTTGGTAGATGATTTTGTATTTGGTTCTAAAATGGCAGTCTGGTTCGAGTTTACACCGCACTTGCTTTTTCTAATGTTAGGTTGTTGTCTTGGAGCTTTGGAGGGTCGGACCTCGAGCCGAACCCCATGGAGCGTGCAGGGACAGGGCAGATATGGTACCGATTCTCCGTTTGACCAGGACAGCGCTAATCAGAATGTGGTCTCACAGCACATGTACAGGCTGTATGAGAAATACAACAGAGAACTGAAACGACTCCGAGAGGGAAACACTGTCAGGAGTTTCAGAGCCAGCCAAGGTGAGTGTGGCTGTGGAATAGCTTTCTATGATGCTGGAGAGAAAAATGAACGTAGATAAATTAGTTATATCCTCAACTCTGATATTCTTCCCAATTTCTTGAGATGCACATAAGAGTTGTGGACTATGTCTGTTTTCAGGGGGAAAGGCGCTGATGAGATTGGCACAGAGAGAAACGCAACGTGCATAGGCAGTGACTTCACTCACCAAGTTATGATGAATTTATGGTTATATTATTATTATATAACAACCTTCTAGTAGGCAACCTAATTACTTGAAATAGCCTACAGTGGGCTGAAAAAAAAGCCGACGCATGTGGTCAGACACCCCAAATAGGTAGGATTGTTTTGGAACCGTCTGAGAATGTCACTGAGTGTTTTTTATGATGCACTTGGGCAGATCTGTATGTGTCGCGTCAGCTGCAGTGTGTCCTTGTCACAGCTCCAGCCGCAGACGCGCAAGAATGTGTGTAGAATTCGCCTCCAAGCGGACCCAGCTGCCGCGCTGGCCGCGACAACAATGCGGTAACTAGGAGACAGGGGGACACCAATAATGCACCAAATCTATTTTCCTAAAGAGGCCACTGTATGCTGCGCTGGAGTATGAAGGCTTAGCACGCAGTGGCGCCATTGTCCTGTGTTTTTTTAATAAACAAAACAGACCCACATTGACTCAACATTTTGTTGTTTAATTTATTTAACCTTTATTTTATCAGGGAGTCATACTGAGACCAAGGTCTCTTTTACAGAGGAGCCCTGAATTGCATAAATTACAGAAAATACACACATCAATGTAAATACAAAATGCAAGCAGAAAGAACAACATGGTCATAAAAAACAAACACATTTATCAGTAATAAGGTCCTCAATCAGCTTTCTGAATCACCCTAGAGGCACCAAAACATCACATTTAAGAACATTTTGAAGATTGTTCCACAAATAAGATGCAAGAAAACTAAAAGCTGATTTACTTAACTCAGTAGAGACCAAAGGAAGTTAACCATCCCTGAGACCTCCTGTGGTAACTCATATGTCTAAAGTTTAGTAAAGATGTTAGGTACAGTGGGACTTTTTGTAAAAGGGCTTTATAAATGAAAACATAGCAATGTATTAACCTATGTGACATCAAAGAGGGCCACCCAACTTTCTGGTAGAGAATGCAGTGATGAGTACAATAATTGTCACCCTTAATAAAGCACAGTGCGCTATGATAAACTGCATTTAACAGCTTTAATGAAGTGGCAGCTGCGTTCATATAGATGATGTCGCCATAGTCTAGGTCCGATAGGAACGTTGACTGAATAATCTGTTTTCTACTATTTAGCGAGTGGCAGGACCTATTTCTATAGAAGAAGCCCATTTTTATTCTCAGCTTCTTAACTAACTCATCAATATGCTTTTTAAAAGACAGCTTTTCATCTATCCTGAAGCCCAGATATTTGTAAGCAGGGACACAATCAATATGGACACCATTCAAAGTACATATGCTTAAATCATCAGAGTTATTTTTATGCGCTTTAGAGAACAACATATACTTAGTTTTACCTGCATTCAATACTAATTTCAGGTCAATAAAGTTTTTCTGTAATAAAATGAAGACAAGACTGTAGTTCAGATAGAGCCTGGTCAACTGTGGGGGCAATAACATACACAGCAGTATCATCGGCATACAAGTGCAGGTTACAGTTTTCTACAGACAAAATTGTTAATGTAAACAGTAAAAAGTACAGGACCCAGAATCAACCCCTGTGGGACACCTTTCGTAATATCCAGGAAACCTGATTTAGCACCATCAGTAAATACACATTGAGTTCTATCTGTCAAGTAATTTTTAAACCTGCTACATGCAGCCTGGCCTAGGCCAATTGAGGAAAGCCTCTGAATTAGCAGTGAGTGATCAACAGTATCGAAAGCCCTTGACAGGTCAATGAAGAGGGCAGCACAATGTTGCCTTTTATCCATACAGTTAACCACATCATTCATAACTAGGGATGTGGCCAAGATAGTGCTATGACCTGGTCTAAAACCCGACTGATGTACAGTTAAAATACATTTCAAAGATAAAAAAGCTCTTAGCTGAGAATTAATCAATGATTGTAATATTTTAGCTAGGCAAAGAAGTTTAGAAATAGGGCTATAATTATTTAGGTCCCAAGGGTTACCACCTTTGCGAAGGGGAAGTACATTGGCCACCTTCCAAACCTTGGGGATAGTACCATATATAATCGTCAGGTTAGAAATATGGGTTAATTATTCAGCAATCAGGGGGGCAGAGAGCAGCAGCAAAAATGGATCAATCATATCAGCCCCAGTGGATTTTTTTACATCAATCTTAAGCAAGGCATCTAGCACATCACAGATAGTAAATTGTTGAATTGAAAACAAATATTCACTAGAAGTTGACGGGTTAACCGTTTAGTCAGCTAGAGGCTGGCAGAGGGAAGAGCAGTCTATTGACTGACCAGGGTCAATTAAACCACAGTTTCTCTCAAATAAAAAGCCTGCCGAGATAAAATGATGATTAAAACCACAGTTTCTCTCAAATAAGAAGTCTGCCGAGTTATGATGCCAGAGTCAGACAGAACTTGCTTAGGCAGGGAAGAAGAGGAATTTGTATGCTTCAGTGCATTTACTGTTTTCCAAAATGTAGAAAGATCACCAGCAGAATCAGAGATAGAGCTTAAAAAGTTGCTTGATTTAGTTTTCTTAATCGAGATAGTACATCTGTTTCTCAATTGTCTGAAAGATTACCGGTCCACTACAGAGTCAGTTTTCATTGCTTTGTCCCAGGCCTGATTTCTCATCTGAATGAGCTCCGATAGCTCCGAAAGAAAACCAAGGGTTAGATCTATCTTTGACTCTGAATTGTTTAAAAGTGGCGTGTTTATCTGCCAGAGGAATAAATATGGAGGATAAATGTTCTCGAGCCAACTCAGGGTTGAGGAAAAAACGTTTTACAATGTCCCTTCTTAATTAATTAAATGAGGATTAGTATTTTGCAGTTTCGTATCTCTAATACATACTATGGGAGAATGATCACTGAGATCGTATGCAAATACTCCACTAGACAAATATTTATGGGAGTTATTAGTAATAATTAAATCAAGGGAGGAGTTAACAGAGTTTTTCACATTTAGCAATGTGGGTTTTCAGATCAATTGAGTCAGATTAAAATCAATGCATATACTCTTAAATTGATCTGAGGCCGGGGATAGACAATTCAGTTTCAAATCCCCTAAAATGACTAACTCCAAGGACAAAAAAAGCTGTTACACACTCGGATATAGCACCAATAGCATCCGCCATGGCAGCAGTTGGGCGGTAAATCCCAGCAACACATAAATATGTATTCTGGTTTATGGACACATCTACAACCAGAAGCTCCAATTTTCTTGAAAAAAATATTGAAAGATTGGGATGCCATGAAATTAGATTTTACATATACAGTGGCTTGCGAAAGTATTCACCCCCCTTGACATTTTTCCTATTTTGTTGCCTTACAACCTGGAATTAAAATGGATTTTGGGGGGGGGGGGGGGGGGGGGTTGTATCATTTGATTTACACAACATGCCTACCACTTTGAAGATGCAAAGTATTTTTTATTGTGAAAAAAGAAATAAGACAAAAAAACAGAACTTGAGCATGCATAACTATTCTCCCCCGCAAAGTCAATACTTTGTAGAGCCACCTTTTGCAGCAATTACAGCTGCAAGTCTCTTGGGGTATGTCTCTATAAGCTTGGCACATCTAGCCACTGGGATTTTTGCCAATTCTTCAAGGCAAAACTGCTCCAGCTCCTTCAAGTTGGATGGGTTCCGCTGGTGTACAGAAATCTTTAAGTCATACCACAGATTCTCAATTGGATTGAGGTCTGGGCTTTGACTAGGCCATTCCAAGACATTTAAATGTTTCCCCTTAAACCACTCGAGTGTTGCTTTAGCAGTATGCTTAGGGTCATTGTCCTGCTAGAAGGTGAAACTCCGTCCAAGTCTCAAATCTCTGGAAGAATGAAACAGGTTTCCCTCAAGAATTTCCCTTTATTTAGCACCATCCATCATTCCTTCAATTCTGACCAGTTTCCCAGTCCTTGCCGATGAAAAACATCCCCACAGCATGATGCTGCCACAACCATGCTTCACTGTGGGGATGGTGTTCTCGGGAAGAAGAGAGGTGTTGGGTTTGTGCCAAACATAGCATTTTCTCATCTGACCAGAGTACCTTCTTCCATATGTTTGGGGAGTCTCCCACATGCCTTTTGGCGAACACCAAACGTGTTTGCTTATTTTTTTATAAGCAATGGCTTTTTTCTGGCCACTCTTCTGTAAAAGCATAGCTCTGTAGAGTGTACGGCTTAAAGTGGTCCTATGGACAGATATTCCAATCTCCGCTGTGGAGTTTTGCAGCTCCTTCAGGGTTATCTTTGGTCTCTTTGTTGCCTCTGTTTAATGCCCTCCTTGCCTGGTCAGTGAGTTTTGGTGGGCGGCCCTCTCTTGGCAGGTTTGTTGTGGTGCCATATTCTTTCCTTTTTTTAAATAATGGATTTAATGGTGCTCCGTGGGATTTTCAAAGTTTCTGATATTTTTTATAACCCATCCCTGATCTGTACTTCTCCACAACTTTGTCCCTGACCTGTTTGGAGAGCTCCTTGGTCTTCATGGTGCCACTTGGTTGGTGATGCCCCTTGCTTAGTGGTGTTGCAGACTCCGGGGCCTTTCAGAACATGTTTATATATACTGAGATCATGTGACACTTAGGTTGCACACAGGTGGACTTTATTTAACTAATTATGTGACTTCTGAAGGTAATTGGTTGCACCAGATCTTATTTAGGGGCTTTATAGCAAAGGGGGTGAATACATATGCAAACACCACTTTTCTGTTATTTATTTTGTATAATTTATATGTATATAAGTTATTTTTTTAAATTTCACTTCACGAATTTGGACTATTTTGTGTATGTCCATTACATGAAATCCAAATAAAAATCCATTTAAATTACAGGTTGTAATGCAACAAAATAGGTGAAACGCCAAAGGGGATGAATACTTTTGCCAGGCACTGTATGGCCACTCCTCTCCCTTTCTGGAATCTGTCACATCTAAATAGATTAGAATAATTTCTTCAATGTCTTTATCAGATACAGAACCATTTAATCATGTTTCCGAGACAACCAGAATGCCAGGACACGAGTCCTGTACCCAAATGTCAATTGTGTCCATTTTTTAAATAATGCTTCGCACATTTAGGTGCACTAGCCCAAGCCCCCTATGAGATTTAAAGTCAGAGGGGGTATTCAGCTCATTCACATAAGAGCTTACAGGCATAGGGTCATCTGCAGCTATTTGTTGAGTGAACTGAGACTTTGCCAAGGTCCCTGGCCAACCACGTGAGAGCAGAGTAGACTGAGAATTTGACAGACCTCCCTCAAGTCGCTGGATGCAGTGGCTGGGGCGGGAACTGGGAGAGCAGTGTTGGCAGAGCTCAGTCCACCCTGATGAATCTCCCGCCAAAGGAGTGGAGCTGCTGCAGGGGATCGGAGTGGCTGCCGATGCTCAATTCTGGGTGTGCACAGGAGGCCTTGGTGTGCCTGCTGTGCAGAGTTGGGGCTGTCATGGGGGACAGGAGTGTCCCAGGCCTGTCCTGGGGATGGGAGTAGGGAGGGTAACCAAAACTTGCCTGGGAGGGAGGTTGTGGGGGTAATTGAGGAGGGTGGTGTGGAGGGCAGTGTGGCTGGCGACGCTCCAAACTCTCAGCATATGAGGGCTGATAATGTGAATGATACATGGTGTGGACTGCATCATGTGGTGCACTTCCCTCGACAGTGTTTTGCCAGACCCTAGGGTAGTGGTCGGTGCTGTGTAGAGCTGGGCTGAGTTGAGTTGGGCCTGGTCTGGTAGAGCTGTTCTGTGATGGGCCAGGTCTGGTAGAGCTGTGCTGTGATGGGCCGGGTCTGGTAGAGCTGTGCTGAGGCGGGCCTGGTCTGGTAGCATGGGAGGGAGGTTGTAGGGGGAATTGAAGAGGGTGGTGTGGAGGGCAGTGTGGCCAGCGATGCTCCAAACTCTGCATGGGGCCTCTTTGACTGCGTACGGCTTGGGCATAGCTCAGTGTATCTGCATGCAGTTCCTGGGAGACAAGTGGTGGAGGGTGGTGTGGTGGGCAGTGTTGCTGGCTGTTCTCTAGCCTCTGTGAGGCACCACCAGATACAGGTCTAAAGGAATGTCTGATTTGTCTCAGGGAGTTGGTGGCTGGTCTGCTGCTCCTGTGGGGTGAGGTGGACTGGCCACCCAGAGCAACATCATTTAACGTCCTGGTGAAAGTGGGGACTGCCTCTTTGTACAGGTGTACATTGTCATAAAGACAGTCGAGGCTGAGGGTGGGATGGTGGGCCAGGTGTACATTGGGCTGTAGCACACAGTCCCAAGAGAGGCTAACATTTACCCTCCGGATGGTGGCAGGGTGGAAATCTCTCCTCTGGAGCAGGGTAGATATTACTATCTTCGCAAGGGGGAAGATGGTGGAGGCCCACTCTATCATTCCCCTTAGTGATGTGGCCACCCTCTGCTGTTGGGCACACAGGTCATTGGTCCCTGTGTGAATGATGATATGGCTTGGAGAGCCAAGCTGGGCCACAGTCAAGAGCTCCATAGCTCTCTCTGTTGTTGGGCATAACTTTAACACCTTTTTATTTGGGAAAAGTTTATTCTCTAATATAAACGTTCCATTTCAGTCCATCATTAATATTATGTCTGGTTTCTCGTCAGGTCTATGGAGTATGGCAGGAGTGATGGGAGTAATTACAGGCCGTGAGATGGGGATGGAGGGGGTTGGTTGGTGGGTTCTGATTCAGCTGTTGGCCTGGTCCTGGGTTTTTGTGGGATTCTTTGTAGAGTGGATGGTGGTGGCTGTGCTGGACAGTTCCTCTCTAAGTCTGCGTGCTTCCATCCTGAGAGCCTAATTGTCCTTTCATTGGACACTGCAGCTCCCGGATCTCCTCCCTATGCTGACGCACCAAGCTGATCTCCTCCTCTATAAGATGCTGTGGTACTGCAGGTGTCACGTGTGAGAGAGGCATGCTCAAGGCTGTGTCTGCTGCAGGTGAGGGAGGGAGAGGGACACTGGGGACTACATACTGGGGCACAGAGGGAGTGGAGGCTGTTGTAGGTAGTGAGAGGTTTTAAGTTCAGCAACAAAAGGTTCTATTTGGTCGAAGTAGTGGACAAATTGATCCAGACTGGCCTCCGAACCTTGAACCATCACAGTGCTGTTATTATATATATTAATGTTACATTTGGGGGTGGAATCAATATACAGTTGCCTCATTGTTCTGTTTTCTGACATTTTAAGATCATTGTTGGTCTTGTGGAGAGCTGTGTGCCAAGCATTAGGATCATCCGTGTAGAACAGAATGTCTCCTTTGATTTCCTTGTTCGCTTTTAGGATGAAGTCTGCCCTCAGTGTCTCTGGGTATTCCCGTAGCAATTTCTTTTAGAAATTTTAATTTTTTCTGACTCACTTGTAACATTTTCAGGATACACGATGGCAAGGTCTCTGAAACAATGCTTAGAGAATGCATCCATCTTCATCTCCATGGTGACCTCTTTAACGCTGCTCTAGAATGATGTGTATGTGCCCCTTATGAAAGCACTTATTTAAATAATGCACCTATAGATACATTCACTTTTTAAACAATGCACTTTTATGAATAATACAAATAAATATATTTTCAATGAAACAACACATTACACATAAATGAAGATACCTTCTCAATGTTCATAATGTTTCTACCTCCTTTCCAAGTGCTCTTTTGCTTGTTTGTTTGTTCATCTGAATGCTTGTTTCCCTATCAAGCCTGAACTATCCTCCAGAAATCCCTTCCTCTTACTCCCTCTGTTGGTTTTGTGTTTGTTTATCTATGTCCTAATTCTTTTTGTTGTCCTTTTGTTGGGTTTATAGTCCTCCTGTCCCATTCCTTCCTTGTGTTGCCTGATGATTCAGCAGATGAGTCTTGCAAGAACCAAGTCGATCAATCTCTCAAAATCTCTCCAAACTATTTGCACAAAAGAAAATTCCTCTAGATGGGCAGAACACAGCAATGCACTAAAATAACTAAACTGTTCATATAAAAATATAATATAATATAATATAAAAATAGCAATTTAAGGAGGAGCTCTTCTTAAGTCGGCTCGGCCTCCCGAGTGGCGCAGTGGTCTAAGGCACTGCATCGCTAGTGCTAGCTGTGCCACTAGAGATCCTGGTTCGAATCCAGGCTCTGTCATAGCCGGCCGCGACCGGGAGACCCATGGAGCGGTGTACAATTGGCTCAACGTCGTCCAGGGTAGGGGAGGGAATGGCCGGCAGGGATGTAGCTCAGTTGGTAGAGCATGGTGTTTTCAATGCCAGGGTTGTTGCTTCGATAAATAAAAATAATGAATGCACTCACTGACTGTAAGTCGCTCTGGATAAGAGCGTCTGCTAAATGACTAAAATGTAAGTGGTTATCAGATAGCATATCATAATAACACATGTTTTTTACTGCAGAAGCCATGTAATCTAAGGAGCGATGTAAGGGAGTTTTGACAACAACAAGAGATCTGTGAACACATTAGGTTATTGTCTTGGTGCGGGGCAGACAGTGTTGGCTGTATTAGGGGCTTAAGGGGAAGCTTTGGGGGAAACTGAAATAAGCGTTTCCATATGCCTGAGGCTGGATACAGAGTAATGTATATCTCTTAAGTCACTCCATACATCCGCAGACGCCATATACAATGGACAATATGTCTGCTGTTGGGCCTAATGTTCATCATGAATATGTTACTCATGCCTCCCTCCCCCCACTCCTCTGCACCTATCTCCCTCCCTCCCTCACTCACTCCCCCCTCTCCTCTACTCTCCTCTCCTCTCTCCCCATCCCCCTCACCCTCTCCCTCTCCTTCCCCATCTCCCTAACTCTTCCCCTCTCCTATCCTCTCCTATAACAGCCAGAGAGTTATGGGTTCCCTCTCCAGAGTCTTGTTCCACTCAAGGTTTATTCCCACCTAGGAATCACTGTGCCTCTGCCTGCTCTTTAGGTGTTAAGGCCTGGGTCGCTGTGAAAGACTGAAGTAACAGATTTCTCCCCCTGTAGACTCGTCTGACCAGAGGACGTTTTACCATCTGAACCTGACGTCTCTCCAGGACTCGGAGCTCATCCTCTCTGCCACGTTTCACTTCTTGTTCGACCGGTGCCCGAGGCCAAGGGCTTGGTTCTGCAAACGCTACAAAACCCCGGCCTGTCGCTCTCTACACCTCCACCCTGCTCCCTCCATCCACCTCATCCTTCGCTCCAACCCCTCTGGGTCAGCGGTCAATCCAGGGTCGCAGGCGTCGTTGCTAGGCAACGTGACCTTTCACCCCAACCAGAGAGGGTTGTGGCAGATGAAGGACGTGACTGTGGCGATAAAGGAGGCCAGGGAGAAAGGCAGCCATTTTGTGTCGGTGGAGCTGGACTTTGGGCTGCAGTACCACAGACAGCCAGAGGATATGCTGTCTGGGTCCAGTCTACCTTATTTGTTGATGTATGCTGACGACCATGCGCTAGATGAGCCCAACAGTGTGGCACAGACTTTACAGAGGTATGGCCCTGAGGCAGAGGTGGAGGAAGATACTTCTCACCCTTCTCTTCTTCCCCCTAAACAGGGGTCAAAGGGTCGTGTGAGAAGGGGGGTACTATCTCTCCCAGACTCCATCCAGAACAACGAGCTACCAGAGGTGGAGTACAGGCCTGGCGGATCCAGGAAAGATGACCCGTTTGAAACCGCCTACCACACCCTGAAACCTATCAAACTCAAGCCTGGGAGGAGGGAGAGGATGAGGAAGGGCCAGGACGTAGAGGAAGAAGTGAAAGATGGAGAGAGGGATACAGGAAGTCAATCGCCAGTCCTGAGCTTGGACGAGAGGACCCCAAAGAAGAGCAGCGATGGAGGGAGTAGGTTGCAAGACAACAGTGAGGGAAGGAGTGATGGAAGAAGCGATAGAGGGAAGGAAAGAGGAAGTAAGTCTCCAATGCTGAGTTTTGATGAGCGGACCATGCATAAGGCGAAGAAGAGACAGTGGGGCTCGGAGCCCCAGGTTAGGAGCTGCTCTAGGAAGACACTCACGGTGGACTTTGCGGACATCGGCTGGAGCGAGTGGGTCCTGACGCCCAAAGCCTTCGATGCCTACTACTGCGCTGGCACCTGTGGATTCCCCATGCCCAAGGTAAAGACTGTGACTAGCTGGATTTGAACCCACGTCAAATCCAGTCTTTGGGAGCCTTCTGAGCTAAAGTCTCAATAAATATGTAAGGCAGAGAGGATACCCTCACACTTATTTCAAAGTGAGCATGACAGCCGAGAATGTATTTATGGTTCCCAATTTAGAACTGCTCCATTGCTCCCAGTCTGATGATATGTCTACAACATTTAGGAAATAGTATAAATCAGTAGATACATTACTGGCCAGTGCGGACACACTTACATGTACTTCATTGTACTATTGTGTCATGTTTTCCTACTTGCACTTTATTAAATTAATTAACCATTGTGCTTCTAAATCATAGACAGCTTTTTATCAAGGCCAGTTCCTTCTTTTAAAAAAATTCAGAATAACCTTAAAATGTAATTTTTCCTATTGAATTGTTACAGGCATTGCCAGTTACAATGCTGTAACCTCTCTCTCTCTCTCTCTTTCTCTACCTCAATCACCCTTCCCCTTCTCTCTCCATTGCTCCTCTCTCTCCCAGGTACTGCGTCCCTCTAACCACGCAACCATCCAGAGTATAGTCCGTGCGGTTGGGATAGTTCCAGGGGTCCCAGAGCCCTGCTGTGTCCCAGAGAAGATGAGCCCTCTGGTGGTTCTATACCAGGACGAGGGAGGTAACCTGGTGCTCAAGGTCTACCCCAGCATGTCTGTGGAGAGCTGTGCCTGTAGATAGACCCAGAAGACAGAGGGGAACAACGCTGGACAAAACAGGATGGACTTGCAGCAATTTAAAAGGACAAAAAAGGGAAGTTAAAAAGACAGATATATATTCATAAAAGGACAGATGAGTTGAGGTGTCTGTCCATCTATTCCTCCCTTGTATCCCTCAGGCTTTGACACTGAGATAGTTGAACGTAAAGACGCGTTGAAGCAGCACATGATCTGTTGTTGCAGCACCAGTCATGTCCTCCAGTAGCAGTAGAAACACCACCACAATATTCTCCTCAACAAAGCAGCGTCACCGCTTCAAGGACTACAGGTACTGAGAGAGCTCTCTCCCTCCAAACAACTCAAATTCAAATCGTTACGCTCCAAACCAGGGCTGCTTGACTGGCGCTTTGTTTATTTTTTTGTTTTTGAGGCACTGATCATGCTTGCTTTAATATACTCATTTCAGACAGAAGATGTGGTATGTTACCTGTAAGAAATACACTGAGTGTACAAAACATTAGGAACACCCCCTTCAGAACAGCCTCAATTTGTCGTGGCATGGACTCTAGAAGGAGTCAAAAGCATTCCACAGGGATGCTGGCCCATGTTGACTCCAATGCTTCCCAGAGTTGTGTGAAGTTGGCTGGATGTCCTTTGGGTGGTGGACCATTCTTGATACACACAGGAAACTGTTGAGCGTGAAAAACCCAGCAGCGTTTCAATTCTTGACACAAAGCAGTGCGCCTGGCACCTACTACCATAATCCGTTCAAAGGCACTTAAATCTTTTGTCTAGGGCTGTTACGGTAACCATATTACCGCCACACCGGAGGTCACGAGTCATGACGGCAGTCAAATTCCATTTGACCAATTAGTCATGGTAATTAAGCTTCTCCAAGCTCTGATGCTGCTGATGGTCATTAGTAGCCTACCAAACTTGCTAACTGCCTGGTACTCAGCACTCTATTGTCCCTCTAATCACTCTGACATCAATGCAAATGTAATCGAAAATCTAATCAAACACTTCATGAGAGCCCATGAGCTCATGTTGCGCAACATTTCTATAGGCTATGCAATTGCGTGAGAAAACGGATCCCATCAGTTTTCTAGGCCTACTATATTTATTTCTCAACTTTCCTAATATTAAGCACATTGCTTTTCTTTACAAAAGGAGTATAGCCTACCTGGCTGGCATGAAAATTAACCACGGGAAAAGCGTCCTCCATTCGCTATTTAAGTGCATAGATAACATGTATTTTTTCCCCCTGCCCCTGTTTCGAGACAGGTGCGTGATAATGGTCCATTCTAAATCAATTTTCACACATATATTATTTAGTATACGTAAAGACAAGATTAAATCAAGAATAGTCTGATGGGTGACAATATTAGCCTATCACTTGTGAAATATATATTATCACTTGTGAATAATGCCCAGCTTGTGTGCAAGGCAAGACACAGCTGGGGTTTTTGCGACTTTTTCAAATCATAGTCGCACACCTCATGGCCTATATGTTTTGATAAGGTTTGTATCACAACTAAAGTGGCCAAATAACATATTCAAATTAAGCACATCAATCCGCTTTACACCGGGTGTAGAGCCTAACTGGCATACATACTCAACACGTGAGTTTCATGTTTGGGGAAGATCATTTTCACCATAAAAATGCACCTTTATAATAAAAGCATTACATGCGTAATCGCATTTGCGGTCACTTTTGAGAATGGTGTTTTTCCACAAATATATTGGATTTTGGAACATTTGCGCTTGTAGCCTACTGCCGTGTGCGCATTGCTGCGCTTATAATGTGAAAAAATAGCCTAATCGTTTATCAACATTTTAAGCCAAATGTTCTGATCTGTTGCGTCAGCCTCATTGCTTTTAAAAGGTTTTTTGATGCTAGTGGTTGTATTAATTTGGGATCTATCGCATCCCACAACTGTCCCAGACTATGTTTGGAATATTTATTTCTCGCACCGAATAGCATAGGTCAACTTTTGTACTATGGGGGATAGTAGATTGACATAGGCTAGTGCAGGGATCATCAACTAGATTCAGCCGTGGGCCAATTTTTTCTTGAGCGGAATGTCTGGGGGTCGGAACATAATAAATAAATAAGAAATATACTGCAAATTGGTTGCAATAAGCCTAAACCGATATAATATTTGACAAAAATAAAACATAATAATTTCAAACCTTGATTACATTTGGGAACATTGTCCTGCGTAGGGTGCCGTCTTTTGGCTAGGACGTGAAAATGGGTGTCCTGATTCTCTGTGGTCATTCAAAATCCCATGGTGCTTATTGTAAGAGTAGGGGTGTTCACCCCGGTGTCATGGCTAAATTCCCAACCTGGCCACATTCCATCATGGCCACCTAATCATCCCCCTCATTCCTAATTGGCATATATCACTCCTCACCTCACCACCTGATAGCTGATGTGTGGTGAGAGTTCTGGCACAAAAATGGTTGCTGTGCATCACTGAGGTGGGTGCTACACATTGATGGTGGATGAGGTGAGTTTCCCCGTACTATGTAAAGCGCTTTGAGTACCTCAGTTGGTAGAAAAGTGCTATTTAAATCCAATAAATTATTATCAATTACTATTATTTGTATACTTGAGAACATATTTCCGAAATTAAAATCACTTGGAGCTGATTTCCTGGTGTTTTTAGTCTTTCATGTCCAACAATGAAAATTAAAAAAAACGTTTAAAAACTTGGGTGGCCAAATAAAACCACCCGCGGGCCGCTAGTTGGGGAACCCTGGTGTAGGCTGTATTACATGGATGTATTAGACCGCCCTAGTCTTGCCCGTTCACCCTCTGAATGGCACACATACACAATCCATGTCTCAATTGTCTCAAAAGCTTAAAAATCCTTATTTAACCTCCCTCCTCCCCTTCATCTACACTGATTGAAGTGGATTTAACAAGTGACATCAATAAGGGATCATAGCTTTCACCTGGATTCACCTGGTCAGTCTATGTCATAGAAAGAGCAGGTGTTCATAATGTTTTGTACGCTCTGTGTATATGGCTATGTTTATATGACCTACTTTCAAACAGCCCCCTATTTACCACTTACTTGCAGGTAGACCCCTTTTATACATATCATATCAGTGGGTAACTGGCAAATTAGGAGGGGTAGGGGGTGTTGTTAAACCTTAGGGGCTGTTTACATTTCAAATTAGGGTGGTGTGAAACAATGGAAGTGTTGATGAATTTACCTGCAAGAAAGCAGAGAACCATTCACACAGACCCGATACCTGTATTTTGGTTACAGGGTCTGTGAAATTGCAGGAATCATGACTAGGTCTTTAGGTGGGATTTAATTTGCCATGTTGTTTTTTTTTACCCCATATCCCTTTTAGATATTCAAAAAAGATGGTATAAAAAAGATGGCATGGTAAAATAGTGGGATTTTTGTCTGTATATGAAAGGGATTATAGACAGAGTCCTGGCTCATGTTCATTAGGGCAAACCGTAGAAAAAAGTTTTTTTTCTACAGAAAATGAAAATAAAGGTTTCTTATTGGACAAGTTCAGATAGTACCACCCCGCTTCGCTCTGTTTCAGACAATTTTTTATGTTTCATGCCTACTGAACAGGAACCTGGATCCTCATTCACTAATACTGTACATACTGTACATCCCTATACTTTCCCCTATCAGAACAATGCACAAAGCGATTGTTGTTTTGTGTTCATGTTTTTTTGTTTTTTATTGGCCCAGATATATTGGTCGCTCAAGCTAGAATTACGGTAAAATACCTTCTCAGTGTTCAATATAGGCAGCTTACACAGTACATGTATTAAATACACAGAACGCTTTAAAACAGATGCATTCTAGTGGCACTATAAGGTTAAGTATACTGTGTACATACCATAAGTATTTGTTTGAGGGACGTTTGTGTTATGTTGTAAAAATTTAATTATAACTTTTTTTCTACTACTAAAACTACCCTAAAGTGAATCGTAAAGAGAGCTTCTGGAATTAATTTGTCTTTTTTCCCCTCCGTAATAATATTTTCAAGCCTGCTATGTATAAGTGGAAGAAGGCAGAAATATTTTTCTATATTGTATGTGTGAATATTTTGAAATGAATTTGTCTTGGTTACCATATTATTACAGTTTTTTTCATCTCTTTGGTGCAATTTTCATAGGTATGTGGTACATTTTCACAACTCTTAGTAAAAACCTAAAAATTGATAATCAAAAGGCAGTTGTTTCAAAACTCTAAGCACATTTTTATTGATTAAGTACAACACAAAATCATAGTCAGTGTTTCATATAGAAATATACTGAACAAAAATATAAATGCAACATGCAACAATTTCAACGATTTTACTGAGAACAGTTCATATAAGGAAGTCCTATTAATTGAAATGAATTCATAAGGCCCTAATCTATGGATTTCATGACAGGGCAGGGGAGCAGCCATTTTTCCCTACAAAAGGTATTTATTACAGACAGAAATACTCAGTTTCATCAGCTGTCGGGGTGGCTGGTCTCTGACGATCCCGCAGGTGAAGAAGCCAGATGTGGAGGACCTGAGCTGGCGTGGTTACACCTGGTCTGCCCTTTTATTTTCTATTTTATTTAGTCATTTAGCAGACGCTCTTATCCAGAGCGACTTACAGTTACTGAGTGCATACATTATTTATTTTTATTTTTCATACTGGCCCCCCGTGGGAATTGAACCCACAACCCTGGCATTGCAAACGCCATGCTCTACCAACTGAGCTACATCCCTGCCGGCCATTCCCTCCCCTACCCTGGACCAATTGTGCGCCGCCCCATGGGTCTCCCAGTCGCACCCGGCTACGACAGAGGCTGGATTCGAACCAGGATCTCTAGTGGCACAGCTAGCACTGCGATGCAGTGCCTTAGACCACTGCACCACTCGGGAGGCCAGTTGGACGTACTGCCAAATTCTCTAAAACGACGTTGGAGGCAGCTTATGGTAGAGAAATTAACATTCAATACTCTGGCAACAGCTCTGGTGGACATTCCTGCAGTCAGCATGCCAATTGCACGCTCACTCAAAACATGAGACATCTGGCATTTTAGATTGGTCTTTTATTGTCCCCAGCACAAGGTGCACCTGTGTAA